GGATGGATGGATGGATGGATGGATGGATGGATGGATGGATGGATGGAGGTCAAGCCTGAGGCGTCAAATTATATCATAAAAGTAAAGCTGCACAACTAAATGATGAATGAAGTCCAAACCTCCACCTAACATAACCATACATTTTTCATCTATGACTTCACACATCTTAGAAATGATAAGACATGACTGACAGGGAAACATTCAGTATGCTATACTGTTTTTTTGTTTTTTTTGTTCTGGTTTTAGTAGATGAAATTTCTTTTAGTTTGACCAAAATGCCCCCAATTAATAGTTTCAATCACCAGGTTTTAGCTGAAGCAGAAAAAAACAGTAAAAAAAAATCCCCAGAGCATTAAATAAAACAGAAGTCATGCACTATATCCAGAAGCAGCTGGAGATGGTGAGGAAGAGCAGTGACCCCAGTCAGAAACATTACCTATAAAAAAGTTTTGAAACCTGATGGGAAACTGAATGACACTGGACTGGAGAGATGGGGCTGGAAAGGTAGTTGCCCTTCTGGCAAAACCATTTGAGCATACAAAACAATTGTCAAGGCAGAAATGCTTCAGTCTGACAGCCCAGATACTGTCAAAAGGTGAGGAAAACTGATTGGTGAGAAGTAAAGAATGTTAATATTTGAAAGCAACCTGGGAAAAACAGAATTACCAAGTGACCAACAAGGGGCTGGAGGCCTGGCCTCTACACAGGTAAATATGATCTCTTTATATCAAAATTTGTTTGGCCTCTCCTAATCTCAAATTTTTTGCACACTAACATTTAAAACAGCAAGGTTATGACACATGAGTTTTGATGATTTAGTCCATAAATCTTATTCTAATACAGTGAAGACAAATAAAGAGTCAAACATGAAACTGGGAACATCCCATGGCCTTTTGATGGATGTATGACCTGTCTTCGGTCTTCCCTACATTTAATCTTTGTTGGACTCTGACTAAGTGAAGAATATTTAGAAAACAAATGTGTGAATGACTGTCCAGGGTGTACCCCGCCTCTCGCTCATTGAACCATGAGTTAGGCCCCAGTTCTCCCCACGACCCCATTAGGGGATAAGCGCTAACGATAATGGACGGATGGATGGATGTGTGAATGAATGAATAAATACAACCTTCAGGATGTTTTGCTGTGCTCTGCCCTCAGCTGGCAGATGTCTGCCACTACATACTGAGGCATCTTCACAGCATAACCCAGCAGCATTGGTAGTACTTCCAAAAATTATATGGCTGATGCAACAAAATAAAATGCAAATACTGCCATGTTACCAGCCAACAGAATTTAAACCAGTTGTTAATTCCCAAAAAAAATCCTTAATAAATTATCCCTGAAACAGCATATGTTCCATTTGCAAGGCTAAGTTGGAATTCAGCAAAGGCAAATGCTTGATTATAAAAAGATGCTGGAGAGGCATGTCCATGCAAATGAAAAATCATTTAAAATGTGAGCACATATGCCAAGACATAAAAAGCCCTGTTTAATGTGCTAAGTATTTGTTTCTGCCAGCTCACACAATGCATGCCGATGAGTCACTCCAGCCTCCCTCTGCTTGCAGGGCTTGTTTATGAGAGGGTTTCAGATTAAACGCTGATTATTTTGTGAATAAAACATTTGTCAATGACTCAGTAACACATGACATTCTATTAATATATCACAAGATATTAAGTGATATTGAATGCATAATTATACCTCATTAAAAGAAATCAAATTGTGTCAGTGCTCTATAAATCCATTTATTCTCAAAATGTGTATATTTGCTTTTGGTATTCTATGGATAACACCACATTTTGTCACCATAAATCCCAGATAGGTTAAGTCTCAGGGTTCTTTCAGTCGAATATCAAGTAAAGTAATCATTAAAACATTGAATTTAATTACCTCGAAGTAATGAATGATGCATAAATGAAGATTAAACGAAAACGAGAACCCATGAGAAAAGGTCAAATTGTTCAACAGAAACAGCTGTCTTTATGATTTTAACGTGTGGTGTTTTATTTATTTATTTATTTATTTTTATTTATTTATTTATTTATGTATTTATGTATTTTTTATTATTTTTTTATTTATGTATTTATTTATTTATTTATTTATTTATTTACTTATTTATTTATTTATTTATTTATTTATTTATTTATTTATTTATCTATCTATTTATTTATCTATTTATTTATTTATCTATTTATTCATCTATCTATATATCTAACTATTTTTTTAAATTAATTAATTAATCTATTTATTTATTTGTTTGTTTGTTGTTTCTTCCTTTAATTCTTTCTTTTAATCCGCACTCATTTCTCTCCGTCTCTTTATCAGGAAAAACGTCGCACGCGATTTGTGGGGCCTGTAGAACCTGACACCCCGTCCGCAGAAACCTGATCCGGGGTTGGGCAGCGCCCCCTGGCGGTGAATCCTCACAGCTGCTCCTCCACTCCTCCACTCGGAAGCCGCCGCCGCAACAGCAGCGTCTCTCCTTCCACCGCCGCCGGGACTGCCTGTTCTCAGAGGCAGGGTGAGCTGTCACACAGAGGGAGCCGCGAACTACCGCCGACATGGTGAGTCTGAAACGGGCAAAGGGTGTTCGATGCTTTTTGGTAGCAGATAAGAGGCGGGTTTTTTTTTTAACAGCAGCTCCACAGAAAAACGGAATAACCTTCGTTATAACCGTGTCAGTGCAACAAGCTGTCCTGGATGGAGCGTGTCAGGTGTGTGCGTGTGTGTGTGTGTGGGGTGGGGAAGGAGGGAGGGGGTGGATGCCGCTGACTGGTGGTGTTATGTGACCGCAGAGGGGGCTCTTTTTGTGGTCAGTTGGAACCTACGCAGTAACCGGCTGAATAGAGCAGGGCTGTGGCCTTTCCCTCACGGCCCGCTCCGCTCCACGGTGACGCGCAGCGCAAAGCCTTTAATATAAAGCTGCTGGGGGAGTCCGCAGAAATAACATGATCACCAGCAGACGCGATGTGTTCTGTATAACCCAAATTCTAGGGATATATAAGATTAGGTTAGATTGCGTCACTCCGTGTAGTAGAAAATATAGAATTACCTATTGGCCCACAGCGGCGTCACCTGTCAAGGGCTGCGCTGTGTCCAGTTCATGTTTATTGGCGAAATAAAACATTTAGGAGGGTTTTGTTGTGTCAGGAAATCCGTTTTTGATAATGAATTGACGGGTTAGTAAAGCCTATCTATCTATCTATCTATCTATCTATCTATCTATCTATCTATCTA